ACATAGGAGCATGTTATACTGGTGGGTGATCTTAGAGTTCATTGGAACTTGGAAGAGATGACAGCAACTGATGAGTCATTTTGGAAAAGGTGGATTAGAGAATATCTACCAACATTGACGGAAATATCAAAGTGGAATAATGGTGGACAACAGTTAAAACAAAACGATATTGTTGTGGTCATTGAAGACAAAATACCCAGAAAACAATGATGAATGGGCAATATAAACGCTAAAGTGTGTTTTTTTTTAAAGATAAAAGTCAAAATGACATTCTGTTGGCAATACAATGTAAAATTGTCAATGCTTGCAAATTTTTTATGTAGTAAAGGCTTGTGTTGCCAACATAGTTACTAAATTTTTGACTTGGGGAATTATCTTTAAAAAAAAAAACAGATTTTAGGTTTGTTTGTTTGTTTCGCACTAACTTGAACAAAGCTGTAATATTTCAGATTATGGCAGATACACCAATATAAAACGCGCACAAACGAACGCCCCTTGAAGAATTTTGCTCCACAACCGCTCCGTAGTTACAGAGATTTGAAAAATATTAATCTCACGTCTTTTTTTCCTATCAGACTATGGATTCTTATACTACTGATTTTGCTCCATTATGTTCCGTTATTGAAAAAAGAGGTGGGTAGAGCTGAATTATATTTTTTAAACCTCTGTAATCACGGAAAGGCTTGGGAGCAAAATTTTTCAATAACGGAGCAAAATGGAGCAAAGCTAGTAGTAAAAGAAATCCACTGTCACAGGGAAAAAAATTGGTGAGGGAGGGGTGATTAATATTTTTTAAATCTCTGTAACTACGGAACGTGTGAAGCAAAATTTTTCAATAACGGAGCAAAATTAGTAGTACAAGAATCCATTGTCAGATAGGGAAAAAAAGTGTTGGGGGGACTGATTAATATTTTTCAAACGTCTGTAACTATGGGACGGTTGTGGGGCAGAATGTTTCTAATGGAGTAAAATGGAACAAAATTAGTTAGTAGTATAAGAATCCACAGTGAGATAGAGAAAAAAGGAGGTGGGGTGGTCTGATTAATATTTTCCAAACCTTTGTAACTACGGAATCGTTGTGGAGCAAAATTTTTCAATACCAAAGCAAAATGGAGCAAAGTTAGTAGAATAAGAATCCACAGTCAGAAATGGAAAAAAGGGGTGGGGGGAACTACCAATAACTTTAGCCCCCCCCACGCCCTAAAATCGATATAGTCTCTAAAGCGTAATGGAGCAAAATGTATAGTCTGGCAAGTGGTAAGTTGATAGAGACGAAAGGGGGAAGAAAAGTGGGGCGTAACCTAAGAATATTCACTGACACCTCAACTGACACCGCTTGATGACAGCCATGTCTTTGGGTTCAGTGGCACCGAAAACACCAAGGAAATGAACCAATAAAATTATTAGATTTTTTTTTAAAGTTTCGCCAATAACCACGCCACTGTGTTGTCGTTCAGGCTCTAACCTTAGGCTCCAACCAATGGAATCATGCCTCTGAATAATCACGCCTCTCCGCATCCATCATTTCGCAATGTTCCGGATTTTTTTCTATTTCAACATACCACACATGCCCATATAGCAAAAAAAAATATGTCACCAACTTGTTTATTACTGTTTCTGTCAAGTTTGGCAAAGCAGCAAATTCTATTGTAGTTCGCCGTTTGGCTAGCCAGACAATAAAAGTTATGGAGCAAAATTATAGATAACTTTTCATATAGAAATTTTTAGTGGGGGGCTAACTTAAACGACGTGTTAGCCCGACTATGTAAAATTCATAAAGGGGGAGAATGTTGATAGACTGTCACCAGTAATTTTATAATAATCTGTGATTATGATTGTTAAAAGTTGTCATTATAGTAGAATTGTCATTAACCGTTAAAATGAAATATGTAGGTACAGTATAACCTTGATAATCCGAACTAAATATGTATTGCTAAGGTCAGTTCGATCAGATTACTGATTTGTTCGGATAATCAAAATACGTGCTTATGCTGTTTGTCCCATTTCCGCCTTCATTGACATTTTTTTACAAAGAAAAATGTTCTCAGCTGTTTCAGAATTTTGCTCTGCCTATTTCAAATAAGTATGGAAAACATGTTACGTTGGTCGGTACGATTTCTTCAGATTCTTCTTCAAATTCTTCTGATTTACTTTCGTTTTGACTGTTTTGAGTGTTCTCTAGGATATCATTGTCGGTTGAGCAGTTTTCAGCAGTTGTTCGGATTATCACGATTTGTTCGAATTATGCCTTCGAGCGTTCGCTGTTCAGATTAGCGGATGTTCGGATTAACGCATGTTTGGATTACCAAGGTTGTACTACCTACTACCTGTATGTCTAGAATTTTCTACAGAATCTAGCAATGTCATAATATACAGGGAGAGTCATTTACCTTACTGGAAAATAATTTAGGAATGTAGTACTCATGTTTATCTACAAGTTTTAAGTTTTGCATTTAGTTTTTTCTTCGATCTCCGTCAGTTATAGGAGATATGGACGACCGCGCGCTTAGTAACTCATCCAGTATATATGTTCTGTGAAGTTTATTTTATCTCTGATAAGTGTTGTCATAAGACTTACTAATTTTGTATATTTATCGAATTTGTACGAGTCTAGAAGCCCAGAGAGAATTAACAATTAATTTAACACATTTACTTACAATTTTTCCTTATTTTCACTATACCATTCTAGGAATAACTCTTTTGATTGATTACTTACTTAGAGCACGCATAATGTAGGTTAGCCCCGTTCTTAAATTTTTCTTAAACTTCTTGATTCGTGACCGTCAATGGATATAGTTATTTTCCTAACAAGTGCGCAAAGTGTTAATGTCTGTTTTTTTTTTAAAGATAATTCCCCAAGTCAAAGGATTCAATTTAGAACTGGAAACTTTTCAGAACTCTGTTGAACCAAGAACACTTTGGAGCTTCCATATAGGGATCTAAAATGCTCAAAAATCTGTCAGAACAATTTAGAAATTAATGAAAATTTTCTAAAATGCTCCAGAATTCTTCAAGTTAAATTAGAACACTTCAGAACTTCAATAAACCATTTAGAACATTCCAAAAATACTTTCCAGCAGCAAGGGCTTCAGAACAAATTCAAAAACCTCAGAATTATTTTAGAGAGCCTTAGCAGACAAAAATTGACTGAATAAAGATGAGTAATAATAATAGGGAAATATCAAGAAAATGTTTCTCTTTCGATTCAAATCCTTGAATATTATAACTTTTCTTATTCTAGGCTCTTGATTTTTTCTTATTTCTAAATTCTTAACTTTCTTTTGGGTCTTGAATTTTTTCATTCCAAGTTCTTGAATTCCCATTATTTCCGTATTTTAGAATTTCAGGCTCTTGATTTGTTTTTTAATTTTTACTCCTGGTCGCTTCTAATTTTGTGTATGTTTTCGTTTAAAAGAAATCAAGAATTTAAGAGCCTAGCGTTTGGAATAGACAAAAATTGAAAGTTATAAAACTTACCTTTTGGAATATTAGTCCTGAAGACGTCTTTAAGATGCCTTGAAGATGTAAGCAGAGGACGTCTTGAATGTCGTTTGTAGACATCTAGGGGCGTCTGGGATATTTATGTCCTCTCTACCTTATTGTTGAAATACTTTATGATCCCACCATGAACGGTATTTCGATATGTCGACCTAAATTCCTCACCCGCTATTTCTAAGAAATATTTTTATTTGTTCGACATCGACACAAGATTTCGTAATTTCCTTGATCATTCGGGTAACGCAACGGATGTCGTATAAAAATATGAGGCCTTATCTTTCAAAGCATGCCTTGAATATGTTTTTTAGATAAATCTGTCACTCTCTCTCTCCACAATTTAATTATTTTATTTACGACTAATGTATAATGTGCGTATTATATTTGTGATTTTGGCAGTATAATGACATATGTTATTCCTCCAGGGATTAATGACGAGTAGCGGGATTAATGGTCATTATTCCACAAAAGTGTCAGTGTCAAATGTGTAGTGCTTGTGGATTTGTATTAAAAATTATGAGACGGATGAAATTTGTTCATTGAAAATCTCAAATAAATTAATTTGTCGTAAATAAAGTAGAGTATACTACTCGCAATAATGGCTATTATTCCCACGGAATGTTACTCCCTCGCCGCTAACGCGGCTCAGTTCGTAAGAATCCTCGGGAATAATAACTATCATTATTGACTCGTGGTATAATCTACTATTAGCCTTGCTTCTAATATCTTTTCGTTGCCTATTTTATGGGTTCATCTCCAGTTTCAGGGTTCAGGAACCTCGCGATGTGCTTATTGATTGAGATTGATGGGTTGGGACAAAACTGGATAATTCAACTTTTCAATATTTTTACACCTCTACTAAAGTAATTTGTACAAGTGCGAATTTTAATTATTTCCAATTTATTGCTACTCAATCAGAACTTCTCTATAAATATTTGAGGTTTAATCCGAATTAGATTATTCGATTCAATTTAAATTTTCATTATTATTCAATAACTTTGAAATATTCTATTTTGTTTGGGTAGGTACTTGATTTGATCATTTCTGAATTTTGTTTCACTCAAACGTTTTATAATCGCAACTGTTTCTGAAAAAGTTATACAGAACGCCAAGAATCACCTTTTTATTTAAATTAACATACAACTTAATTAATGAACCCATAAACTAAACTGTCAGTAGATTATTTCTAAAAAGATAAGTTTGCCTGCGGGTAAAGTTTCATTTTGACAAACGGAAAGTTTCCCTTCTAGATAATTTGCGACCCGGGGGCTAGAGCTAATCCGACATCTGCAGGGCGTTCGTTACTGAGTTGCATTTTGTTGTTTAGTGTAAATTTATCAGAAAACTTGGAGTTAAGCGGAAAGGAGCTTTAACGTTTGTGCATATTTTAAGCATAAATTTCTCCAAGTTTTATACATGAAAATGTGCAGGCAATATTTATCCAGAGCATGGTGCACCAAATAAGCTTTTGTATTTGTATTTATGGAAATTAAATTAAACAATAATTATTCTTAATAGACATAAAAGTTTACTCTCATCACTATCTGCTAAATGAAACAAAAAATACAAAATAAAAGTATCAATACATTATTTTCGCACGATCTACTTGGATTCCAAGTTGATGGGGTCCAAAACTGGATCCTGGAATTTCAAATCGGGGAATTTGGTCATATCAGCACCGGCCCCGCCTCCGTACTGCTTGGCAACCTTTTCCAATTCCTGACTCAGTTCCTTTTGCAATTCTGGAGTTGGCTCGACCAGAGTTTTACCACTGAAAACAATCAATTAATAATTGATTGATCAAATTTGATGTACCTGAAACTTACTCGTTGCTCTTCTTTTTGTATTCGCGAATTTTGTCAACGAAAAGTTGTTGAATTGGGTCGGTGGCCTTTTGGAAACAGGGGGCCAATATTCCGATATTGCGACTATGAATGGCACCTTGGACGCTGGTTTTTAGGTTGTTCAAGATTTGGTGAGACAGCATCTTGAACTGTACAAGCAAAATCAATATATAAGATTATAAAAGCAAATTATGTAATCACTATGAAAATTTTATTAGGATTGGAGCGTGATTACCCTAGGGATAAAGCTCTTTGATTTGCTTTTAGATGTTATTTAGTTGGTTACTTCTTACCTTGATTTGTTGCTTATTATTTATTAAATTGAATTGTAAATTTGGGGCCCAACTTTTATAAAAAATTGGATAAAAAAACTTCTGTCACTGTCAGAAAAATCTAACCCTAACCTCAGAATTTAACATGACACTAGCCAAGTTGCCTTTAATAAATGGCAACATCGCTGAAGGCTGGCTTTTAGTCTAATATTTACTAATTTTCATAAACCAAAATACCGATATTTAATAGAAAATAATATATTTTTTAGTAAATAGCTCCTACAATACATAAAATGAAAGGTTACTTAATAATAATTACACATCTTGGATTAAACAAATTCAAAAAAAACTAAATAAACTAATTATTATTTATATGTCCTTGTCCTTTAGCTACATCGCTGATACACTGCCAGGATCCCTCAGTATTTTGGGACCACAGCGATATCTTATTGTCGCCGCCTGAAACGGCTAAAATATTTCCATTCAGAGAAAAACTAACATTCCAAACGACATCGTCAAACAAGTGCAGCACTGTAGAGTCCCAATTAACGCAGTCATCCGAGGTCCAAATAATAACCCGACGGTCTTGAGAGCACGAGGCTATTGTGTGCCTGTGAAGCCCCACAGAAGGAGCCCAGGCTACGTCTCTAACCCAATCAGAATGCACTTCTAGCTTGGTTTCTTCGATCCACTGATCTCCATCTTCGCGCCAAATTTTAACCAAATTGTCACAACCACCTGAAACAATTCTTTTCACCAAGGGTTGTTGCGCTTGCTGGTCATTTTCATTGCCATTGAATAGGGGGGTTGTTGCTGGGGCCCAACTAACAGAATTGCAACCGATTGCATGAGCATTTTGGATTTTTCTTGCCTCCCAGCTATTGGTTTCAGGAGTGTAGGTAAGGATTGAGATAGAACCATCACTGCTGCCTACAAAAAAATATTATTATGATTTATGAATAATTGATTTACTGTAAAGTTCCTACCACAAGCCAAAATCAGCCCTAATTCAGCCGGAGCAAACTGCACAGAATTCACACTGGAATCGTGATTCGAATACTCGTAATACTTTGCCCACTTTCTATTGGTTTCCTTCCATATGATGACTCTGCGGTCATAAGAGCACGAAGCCAGTAGATTACCAAACTTGGGGTGGCTCCAAGCAATCTGCCACACGGGTCCAAAGTGGCCCTTGAGATCGTCCAAGAGGGCCGAGACCCCGTTTTTGATGTCGTACACTTTAACACTGTTGTCCGAAGAACAAGTGGCCAATCGGAGGCCGTAATAATCCACTTCGGCGTCGTGGATCATGTCTTCGTGTCCCGTGTCCACGGAATTTATTATTGAAACCATAATTGATGGACAATTTGGGGCAATTTGTGGAAAATTTGAACTCAAATAAGAAAAATAATTTGGAAAACAAGAAAAGTGTGAGGTTAAGTTTTGTGATGTGGGTGACGTGTAAGATTTGACCGCGGTGGAACGCGCTATTGGGAACAGGCCTTAAAAATCGTTGGAATCACGTCCGATGACGTAGGCAAATGAGTGTGAGGTATTTGGGAAAAACTCTATCGTAGCGAATAATTCCATTGGAAAAATCAGTGCATAGTTTTAAATTTCATTGGAAAATTAGTGCAACGATTTTTGCTCCGAGTGCAGTATTATCGACACGAGACGACCTATTAAACTTCGAACAGACTTAAACATTACGCCGAACAACAAACAGAACAACAATCGAAACACTGGGGGCGGATTACGAACTCTCGATTCGAACCGAAACCGCCATGGATTTCGAACGCATTCTGATGCATTTGCATGGAGTGCGTTCGAAATCCATGGCAGTTTCGGTTCGAATCGAGAGTTCGTAATCTGCCCCCTGATTTGTATGGGGCTACGAACACGCTCCGTTCTGTTTGCTGTTCGGTTCGCATTCGTTGTTCTATTTGTTGTTCGGCGTAATGTTCAGGTGTGTACGAAGCTTTAGAGAAGTTGGAGGTCTTGCAGCTGTTACATGTCACTTGTCAGGTCATTCAAAATATGGCGGCTATATGCAAAATAAGCCATGAGCCGCAAAATAGTAAATTAAATAGTCAGTCTCGTGCCGGCTTTTATGATAGGAGGACAATAAATAAGTCAAAAAGTGTCTCCATGTCCATAGTGTATTCTTGTGCAATTTGATTTAATGTTTTTCAAGAGAATCAGAAACTATGACCTATTGTTGAGTATACCAAAATCGAATTTTCAAGGAATCAGATAGCCATGGGAGATCAGACATTTTACACCCCAAACTTTGGAGATGAGGTATTTGATACACTGAACATAAATCAGCAGCAGCAACACGTCCAACAGGGGCACAATTATCAACCACATTATCAACCTCCAATGCAGCAGATGAATCAACAAATGAACCAACAACAACACACAATGGGAAGGCTTGATCCAATGGGAGGTTACCAGCAACCCCTTTACCTTTCCGGGCCAGAGCATGGGATGACAGGTCAGCAATATCATAATCCTCAACCCAATTATTCGATGTCTTCAAGTCAACAAGCTTCGATGACCCATCAACAGATGATGATGAATTATGGTCAGCCGATGGGACAGTATGGGGCTTCGCCTCAGCATCCTCAGGAAAGAAGTAATGGTCCCCCTGCACCTGGACAAGTACATAATACCTGCCATGATAGTAGTAACAGTACTGTACATCCAGCAATGTTACCGCCAATACAACCACTGGTCTCGGAACTCACTAATCCAAAGGCTCAGAAAAAGCGTAAAGTGCAAAAGAAAAAAGACAAGAGGGATCCTAATGAACCACAAAAGCCCGTGTCAGCTTATTCACTTTTTTTCCGTGATACCCATGCAGCCCTAAAGGGTCAAAATCCCAATGCCAACTTTGGCGAAGTATCCAAAATTGTAGCTTCAATGTGGGATGCTTTAGATTCTGAACACAAAAATGTTTATAAAAATAAGACTGATGCAGCAAAAAAAGAATATCTCCAGGCATTGGCAGCATATAAGGCAAGTGTAGTGTCCAAAGAGGCTGGAGAAGTTGAAGGCAGACCTTATGCTACTGGACCTTCTGGAGGATATCAACACCCAGGCACAATACCATCACCGCCAATGTCATTTTTTGGAGCTCCTACATCACACTCTCCATCTTACATCAACAACAACGTCCTGGGGGGAGACTTTCCTGCACTTCCTCATCCTGGTATGATGCCTTCACCCAATGGCAGAGACATTTCTATGCGACAAGTTCCTCATAACGCCCATATGCGACAGGAAGGCCAGCAATCACAACAACAGCAGATTAGCATGAGCCCACCGTCAATGGTCTCATATTCCCCTCCCAGGTCCCCAGGTGGTATCAGGCCTCGTCAAATCACCTGCATACGTAATGGATGTACCAACCCGGCCATAATAAATCCAGAATGGGAAGACGAATATTGCAGTAATGAATGTGCTGTTAGCCATTGCCGGGATGTCTTCTCAAATTGGGCAGCTGGCCGACAACAAAACTTGTTGACAATTGAATAAATTAAATAGGAGAGAAAACGCAATAATAGACATACAATATTTGTACAAAAATTTAATTGTTAAGAAAAATTATTTATAAGGAATATTTTTGATAAAATGTAATAGTGAGATGCTAGATTAAGCGACTTTGTAAGTAAACTGAAACTGACCAATAAAAACACGATCTCATTCTAGGCTATTTAATAAAAGAATAATTATTGTACCTAACCATAATATTATCTATAGAGGTACTATTTTGTATACAGGGTGATTCCAGAATGGTGTATAAGCTTTTCACTAGTCTTGGTGGACCATTCAAGGAACCCCAGAAAAATAGTTTAAATAATAATCAGACGTACGTTAGCCGTACTCGAGTAGCAAGCAGGTCTGCAGTTAACGTCACCACTATCAGTTGCCTACTATTTGTGACGTCACCCGCAGACCGCGATGGGTTGTTTGTGATTAAGGCTGTGCTTGTGAGTTAATTTTTTTCGTCGATTTTAAATGCAAAAACGGTGATTTTAACGTTTAGGAATTCGTTTTTTTTAACCTATAGATAGTGTTTTAAACCCGGGTAATGCATTTTACGCCAACAGTGCGTTCGAAAAAGGGTTAAATTTTACCCAAGGGTGAGGTGGGTATATGGTCACGTGGTCAGAGGAGTAAATTTTTTCACACATACCATTTATCTGTTTATGCCTATTATCAACAGCAACTTCCGAGGAAAATGGAACAAATAAATCTGACTAAAGCCTAGTACTCATAACTGCGAAATTCGCATTTTTTTGACATTGCTTCGACAATTTGACGTTCAATACACGCATAAAACGTCAAATTGTCAACGCAATGTCAAAAAAATGCGAATTTCGCAGTTATGAGTACTAGGCTTAAATAAGTAGTAGATTTATAATGAAAAACTGACAAGAATGACAGGAGTAAAATTTACCCAGCGGCATAGTTGAGCCGTTAAGAAAGAGTACACAATAGTTGTATTACTTTCAAGAGCTTGAAACACTCGAGCTACTCGCTTCGGTGCTTAGTCGCCCCCGATTTGCAGGGAACATATGCGTGGTGCAACAAACACTTTTCGAAAGGAATAAGCGCGTGAAGCCCCGGAGCTGTTCCGGAGCTCCTCCTAGGTGTGAAAGGAATATAACTAATGGGGTAGCAGTGGTAGCACCCCGGATATTTTCCTTTGAATATAAAACTAGAAGGAACGTTTTCTATCTGTCACTACAGTCAACGCAGGAACGGAAACTGCCATATTGACTATTGAGACTCCAAGTGACTCATCATTTGTTTTGGTGGTTCGCTGTGTCCTCATTAAAGTGGATGTTTAATGGATTTTAGCGGTTTCAAGTGATAAGCACTCTGAGATTAGCGCGAAAAAAGTGATTGTGTGTGGTTTAATAGCCGCTTTCCAGCTGTGTGCTTCAAGCATGGTGCAGACTGCAGCACAGTGTTCTGCGTTTGAAACGCAAAAGTTTTTTTTTTTTTTTACGAATATGCGCACTCGCAAGGAAATGTCCTATCACGCTCGAGAAGCGGCAAGTGCGCGGAAATGTCGGTGTATGTTGGTCTTGAAACGGTTCAGGTTGTAACTTGCAGGGAAAACCGTGGCAGGGAGTTTATTCCACAGCGATGCTGTTCTCCAGAGATATGAATTCTGATATAATGAGGTTCTTGGTGCCTCTAGTTTGACAGTGTTTGACAGTAAATTCATGGTTACCGTCTATTTGACGGGTTCGCCTGGTAGGCGCTACTCTCGGTGGAATCATACGTGCCAACTCTTCAGAGCATTTTCCGTGATAGTACCTGTAGAAGAGAGATAAATCGCCCACAGATCTGCGATGTTCGAGACCATCCAAGTTACGAGTAAGTGCGGGGTCATTGATCAGCTTGATAGCTCGTTTTTGCACGGTGTTCAAAAGCATTAAGGTATGTTTGGGTGCTGCACTCCATATATGTGAGCAGTACTCCATAGTTGGTCAAATCTGGGCTTTGTAGAGTGTCAGCAATTGGCTTGGTGTGTACAGATGTCTTGTACGAAATAGCACCCCCAGCTTTTGGGACGCCCTTTTAGCAATATCTGCCACGTGATTGTGCCAAGACATGTTGGTCTCTGCAGTAACCCCCAAGATGTCTTGGCTGACTCTGTAATGTGACAGCACTTCCAGATAGCATGATGTTTGGCTCACCGGTGCTGTTCTTTTTTGAAAACAGAGCTGCTTGGGTTTTCTGTGCGTTGAACTGTACAAGGTTTTTGTTACCCCAGTCCTCTATTATCTCCAGGTCGTTATTTATCTGCGATATTTGAGTTAGTCTAAGATGATGGAATTCACGTGCGGAAAGACCTGTGGGTGGTATGAGTGAGGAGACTACATTGCCATCGTCTGCAAAGCAATAAAGTGGATTTACTGTTTTATCTATGAGGTCATTTATGTAAATCAGAAAAAGAGTTGGCGAAAGGATTTTTCCCTGTGGCACACCAGCATTTATTTGGTAAGAGTTGGAGTTCTGGCCATCCAGTGCAACATAAATGGATCTGACCTTTAGGTAACTTTCAAACCAAGTGCAAAGTTTCGGCGATAATCCCATTGCTTTGACCTTGTTGAGCAGATTTTCATGCCAAACTTTGTCGAATGCTTTAGATATATCTAAGGCAATTGCTCTTTCACCCCGCAACTCAATCGCTTTTTGCCATAAGTGAGTGACGTATGTAAGTAAATCGCTAGTTGACCTATATTTTCGAAATCCGTATTGCTTATCGTTGATAATTTTGTACTTTTCCAAGTACTTGGTTAGGTGATTGTTCACAACTCTTTCCATTACTTTTGATATCACCGGAAGTAGAGCAATTGGTCTATAGTTTAACGGATCTGTCTTTTTTCCTTTCTTTGGAATGGGTTGTACTGCGGCAGACTTCCATGATGATGGATATACTCCTTGCCTGTAAGACAAATTGAATAATTTTGCGAAAGTTGGGGTGAGTTCGTTGGCGCAATTTTTGAGTACTATTGCGGGAATGCCATCCGGACCCATTGCTTTGTTTGTATCTAGCTTTTTAAGGGATTTTGGTATTTCTCTGTGACAAAAGGGTACCTCTGGCATACTATGGGAAACCCTTTCAATGAACGGTAGAGTTTTTCCATTTGGCACTGTTAGGTTGGAGTTGGAGGAAAACATTTGGGCCAGCATATTGGCTTTTTCCTCTGATGTTGTGGCTAAGTGATTATTTTTATCTGTAAGTGGTGATATGGATGACTTGGTGAAGTTAGATCCAACAGCTTTTGCAAGAGACCAAAAGGACCTAGAACTACTTGGACAATTCAGCAACCTGTTTTTTATTCTTTGATTGTATGTTTCTTTAGCGGAGTCAATAGTAATTTTGCAACTATTTCTGGCTTCTATAAATTCTGTGTAGTTTTGAGCGGTTTGTTGTCGTTTCCAAAGGTTATATGCTCTGTGTTTTTTCTGTACAGCCGTTTGACACTGGCTGTTGAACCAAGGTTTTGCATTAGCTCTACGTTTAGTTGTATGTGGGATATTTATTTATTTATTTATTAGCAATAGCAATAGTTACAATATAATTATAATTCTATGATATACAAATCGTAGACATATTATGTACTTGAGATAAAATATTCAAATTTAATTTACTTAAAAATTTAATGCAATACCTACACATAGTTATATCAATCTTAATACAATTTCCTAATACTGCTAACATTATTAGATGCACAATGGTATTTATAATACTGTGTGTGCACCCCATTAAACTTAATTCATTTAAAATATTTTATTTTGAGGTTTGTACTTTCATTTAATATTTTAGGTTTTAATACAATTTAACAAATAACAATTTCAACATTTCAGATGTAATTTCTTTGTACAATAAATTTCTTCCTATCTTCAAATATACCAATAATTGTTTGTTTGTACTTTTTATATCACATAATTAATCCTATATCCACTATCAACAATCCATTTTGTTAAGGGTTTTTTAATTTTGCAATATGTTTTTTGTTTAAAGCTATCAGGTAAGTCATTGTACACCTTTGGACCCACACAGTAAATGTGATTTTGACAGGCTGTGTGCTTGGGGTTCTGCAGTTCAACCTTTCCTTGAGTGGCACTTCTTGTATTTTGTCCGTGTTTTAAATTTTCTTTGTAGTAGTTGTTCTTTATCATGAATCTCAGGACTGATTTTAAATAAAGCTGTTCTATGGTTAGAACATTACTATCTTTGTGAGTAAGAGCTGTAGGATATCTTTTTTTCTTAAACAGCATAGTCTTTATAATCCATCTTTGGGATACCTGTAATTTTGATAGTGTTGTTGTGCCTGCATTCCCCCACAACACCAAACCATAGTTTATCATGGACTCCACTAACGCACAATAAATTGTCTTTAACGTTTTTAATGTAAGCATTTTTCTTAGTTCATAGAATTTGTGTATTAGTTTCCTTACTTTTGCAGTTATATACTCAACATGTTCTTTCCAAGTTAGTTTTTCATCCAAAATAACTCCAAGGTATCTTAGGCTAGACTTTCTTTTTATGATCATATCACACTCACAATGTAGGCCCAAATCACATTTTGAATCATGAACTTTGATGCACTCGAAATCCGGCAGTGAGCGAGAGGAAAGCGAAAAAGCCACAAAATTGGTTTTCTCTACATTAAGGGAAAGTAAACTTTCATCCAACCAGTTCTTAATTTTTTGTAATGCTTTTTCTGCCTTTAGCTTAGTAATTCCCCAGTCGTTACCACTTATTATAATACTTGTATCGTCAGCAAAGCAATAGGTATTAATATTCTCATCATCAAGCTGCTCCATTATGCCATTTATGTAAATGTTGAATAACAAAGTTGAGAGCACTGTACCTTGTGGCACACCAAATTCTACCTGCAATGCATTACTTTCTTGTCCAGAGACAACTGTGGTTTGTTTCCTCTCAGCCAGATACGACTTAATAAAGTTATTTGGAATACCCCTGACTCCCACACTCTCTAATCGTTTCAATAAAATTTGGTGCTCCACAGTGTCAAACGCTTTTCTCAAATCCAAAAAAACCCCTACCACTTTTTTCCCCTGATCTAGATTTTTAAGTATCTCTTCTGTAACCTTTACAAGAGCATTTTCAGTATTTGCATGATCCCTGAAAGCAAATTGATTTGAGTTGAGAAG